CCAGGATACCCTGATTTCCTAAATGATTTTTTGTATTGTTTTGTTTTTGCAGTGCCGGGGATCAAACTCAGGGCTTTGCACATGCTAAGTCCTAAATGATTTTTTGAAATTTGTATTCATTAGAGCCTGGTGCCATGGAAACTGCTTGGTCCCACTTGCTTGGGAGGCTGAGGCAGGAGGATCCCTTGAGCCTAAGAGTTCAGGGCCAGTCTGTACAACAGAGAGAGACCCTGTCTCTTGAAAAAAAATTGCATATATTAAAGTTCATTCTTTGTGCTATAATGTCCTATGGGTTTTTATTTTTTATTTTGTGGTTCTGGGGATTGACCCCAGGGCCTTGTGCATGTGAGGCAAGCACTCTACCAACTGGGCTATATCCACATCCCTATTATTGTCTTTTGAGGTTTGATAACACATTCTTTTTTATTACTGAAAATATTTATATGAATGTATTGAGTTTGTTTATCAATTCACTCATTGAAAGATATCTTGGTTGCTTTTAGTTTGAGCAATTGTAAGTAAAGCTATAAACATTTGGGTGCAGTTCTTTAAGTAGGCATAAATTTACAAATTAATAGGTACCCGTGAGTGTGATTGTTTGGTCAAATGGTAATACTATTTAGCTTTGGAGGAAAGTGACAAATTGTCTTCTAGTGTAGCTGTACCATTTTCTATGTTTATATTCAGTGAAATGAGTATTGGCTTTTATCCTTGACAGCAACTGGCATTGTAATTTTTTTAAAATTTCAGACATTCTTAACCTGGTATGCTATTCACTAACTTGGAAGCTTAGTTCTTGGGCTGCGGTTATGGCTCAGTGGTAGAGCATTTTCCTAGCATGTTTTAGGCCCTGGGTTTGATTCTCAGCACCATATATAAATAAATAAAATAAAAGTCTGTCAACAACTAAAAAAAAATATATATATATATATTTTTTTAAACTTAGTTCTTTTTTTTAAAATATTTATTTATTTATGTTTAGTTTTAGGTGGATACATTAGTTTGTTTTTATGTGGTGCCGAGGATCGAACGAACCCAGTGCCTCATGCATGCCAGGCGTGCACTCTACCACTGAGCCACCACTCCAGCCCCAAAAAACTTAGTTCTTTAAGCTGCATAGCTTACTGAAAAAGCAAGAGTAGAATCCAGCGGGGCATTTGGTTTCCAGAAGTAATTTTTAAGTAACCCTGGGGACAACAGGACTCAAAACAACCTGTTCTAATTCTCCGTTTCTTGTTTTCATTGTGCACTGAAGGTAATGGGAAGAATCACTTTGAATATCCCAAAAGAATACCACAAGTTTAAGCTGGGATGATATGTATTTGTATGGCACCTAAGGGATCCACACCTAGTGTTTTCTGTTGAGTTATTGAGTGAGTGTACCACTTACACTGGGTGGTATGCTGGATGACGGAACAATTGGGCAAGGTCTCATCCTCAGTAAACTTCCAGTCTAACTGGGGAGAAAAAACAGTTGAGGCTATAATGTGGGGATAGAGGGAGCTATGGAACTGGTCAAGGAGGGGTCAAGAAAGGCTCCTTGGGGCTGGGGTTGTAGTTCAGTGGCAGAGCACTTGCCTAACACATGTGAGGCATTGGGTTGGATCCTTAGCACTACATAAAAACAAAACAAAAAAAGGCGTGCTGTCTATCAAAAAGTTTTTTTTTTTTTTTTTTTTTTTTTTTTTTTTTTTTTTAAAGGCTTCTTAGAAGAAGTGGCCTCTAAAATGTGTGCTGCAGCAGGGGTTGGGTCACAGTTCCATAGACTGAATTCAGCCTGTGCCTCTTGTTCAACAGTTTGTGAGCTAAGAATGGTTTCTTTTCTTTCCTTTTTTTAAGGCAGAGTTTGTATTTTGCCCAGTCTTGCCCCAAACTCTTGGAATAAAGTAACCCTCCTACCCCAGCTTCCTGAATAGCTGCAACTAAAAATGTTTGAATGTTTGAAAAGACTAAAGAAACATTTTGTGACACATGGAAATAACATGAGATTCACACCTCAGGATCCTTATATAAAACTTTATTTGCCCTCTGATTGCAGAGCCAGGCAGTTGCTTGCGACACAGACTGTAAGGCTTGCAAAGCCAAGGACACTACTCTCCGGCCCTTTCAGAAAAAGTTTTTTTACCCCTGCTTACAGGATGGGTAGGAGTTAGCTGCCAACCCACAATGAGTTAGAGGGAAGGTGGTTTCTTTTCTTTTTTTGGTATGGGGATTGGACTCAGGGGCACTCAACCACTGAGCCACACCCCCAGCCCTATTTTGTATTTTATTTAGAGACAGGGTCTCACTGAGTTGCTTAATGCTTTGTAGTTGCTGAAGCTGGCTTTGAACTACTGATATACTCCTGCCTCAGCCTCCTGAGCTGCTGGGATTGCAGGCATGCACCACCATGCCTGGCAGGAAGGTGGTTTCTGATGGGATCTTTGCATATCTGCAGTGACTTTGATGTACTTACAGCCTGATATCAAGCAGGTAGTGGCCAGAGGACTGATGAGAGGTGGCAGCATCCAAACGAGTAAGAACCTTGGCCACCATATGAAGGGATTGGGATTATTCAGTGGAAATCTAAAAAGTGTAAAGTGAGGTGAGCAGATTTACTTAAAGAAAAAAAAAATCTGCTGGGCTCAGTGGCACACACCTGTAATCCCAGTAGCTCAGGAGGCTGAGGCAGGAGGATCACGAGTTCAAAGCCAGTCTCAGCAAAAGCGAGGCATAGCAACTCAGTGAGACCTGGTCTTTAAATAAAATACAAAAGAGGGCTGGGAGTTGGCTCAGTGGCTGAGTGCCCCTGAGTTCAATCCCTGGTACCCCCCGCAAAAAAGAAAAGAGGCAGGGAGACTAGTTGAAGCTCTTGTAGTCATTCAGTTGAAATACTGGTAACTGATTGCTGCAGTGACATTGGGGATAGGCTATAAGGATTCAAGGGGCATTTCCAAAGCCAAATTGAAAGGCCTTTATGTCCTAGTCCTTTCAGACCACTATGTTTTTCATAATAAAATACGTAATACGGATGGCTGTTAATGACAGATTTGTTTGCCACCAGGCACAGTGGCACATACCAGTAATCCCAGCAGTTCAGGAGGCTGAGGTAGGAGGATTTCAAGTTCAAAGCCAGCCTCAGCAAAAGTGAGGCGTTAAGCAACTCAGTGAGACCCTGTCTCTAAATAAAATACAAAATAAGGCTGGGGATGTGGCTCAGTGGCCCAGTGCCCCTGAGTTCAATCTCTGGTCCCTGCCCTCTGCCAAAAAAGAAATAATGACAGGGCTGGGGATATGGCTCAAGCGGTAGCGCGCTCGCCTGGCATGCATGCGGCCCGGGTTCGATCCCCAGCACCACATACAAACAACAATGTTGTGTCCGCCAAAAAATGAAAAATAAATATTAAAGAAAAAAGAAAGAATGACAGATTTGTTTCCCACAGTTCTGGAGGCAGGGAAGTACAGGATCAAGGCTCCAATAGAACTCGGTGTCTGGCTAGGGCCCACTTCCTGATTTACCTGTGACTGCCTCCTCTGTGTCCTCATGTGGCAAGAGTAGGAACTGTTTTGTCTCCTTATCCCTACATGTGGGCACTAATCCCATTTCAGAGGGCTCACCTCATGACCTAAACACCTCCTGCAGGTCTCACCTCCTAATACCATCATTTTGGGGCTTATGATTTCCATATATGGAAGGGAGGGGCATAAACATTCACAACGTTTGGGATTGATTGGAAGTGCTGAAATGTAACTATTTTCATGTTAATAAAATAAAAACTATTTTTATTTTTACTTTTGAAAAGTTTATTGGTTTTTTTTCAGGTCTTTTGTGCTTTTATTAATAAAGCAGATTAAAGTTTGACTTTCCCAATTCATTACTAAAATATAGCAAGACATACAGATGTACACATTAGCATACACTATTATAAACAATGATAAAGTCAGTGAGAAATCCATGTTTAGTAACAGTCTTCAGAGCAGAATTCTTCTGCAGTGTTTCACTCGCCTGGTCTTCCCTCCCATAATTTGTGAATTGATGTTGCCTCTCTGTGGCTTTGTCTTGTTCCCTGTTGACTAGAATTTTGGCTTCTAAGGAGGAAAAGTTCTTGGCAGATTAATTTCCTTTTTAGGTTTATCTTGGTTTTACAAATCTCCCCAAATATTTCTTTGTTGAGAGTCCTTGGGCTCTTTGGTTTTTAAGGCACTTTGTTGACAAAGACAGGCACTTCTCATTCCCATAGCACTTAGACCCTTTCCAATTTTAGATCTCTTGACCTTTGCCTTTCTCTTCCTTGGAGCCGCAGTCTCACTTGCAGAAGATGGTAATAAGATCACTATCTTCCATTTTATGATATGTCTATGGCTAATAAAGTGCTTACCCTTACATGTCAGCTCATTTGATCCCTAAACCCGGAAAAAGGCAGGACAAGTCAAATTACTGAGATTAAGAGGGTGGGGCTGGGTGTGCTGGCACATGCCTGTACTTCCAGCAAATGAGGAGGCTGAGGCAGGAGGAACGGCAAGGTTCAGGCCAGACACAACAATTTAGCGAGACCCTCAGCAATTTAGGAAGACCTGTCTCAAAGTCAAAAATAAAAAGGTCTGGGGATGAATTTCGTTGGTGAAGTGCCACTGAGTTCAATCCCCAGTACCTTTCCCCCAATAAATAAAAAAGAGAGGGTGGCTTATTCAAAGTCAAAAGATCAATAAATAATAAAACATAAGATACAACTTGGGTTTTCAGATTTTAGAGTTTTATTCTTAGTATAATATACCCTATCCCCAAGAAATGGGAGTGGAGAGTAGCTAGCATGGTTAGTGAGCAGTAAAGACTTCCAGGTGAAGTCCTTTTTCTCTATCCGCCCAGTGGGACTTCACCCAGACACTGGCATGGGCCTTTCCAGTGCTTCCGAGCTCTCCGCAGACTACCTGTGATTCGTAGGCTGTCATTTGGGAAAATTGTGGTCTGGTATGTTAAAGTATATGTTTAGTGGGTTTTAATTCCTTCTCCTTCTCTTTAGGTGGTTCAAACTTCAACAATTCAAGGTTGAATGAGAAAGGTCTACTTGTAGACCAAAGCTCCGGGGGTCAGGATAAACCAGAAAGCTTGCTCCCGAGGTAATGAAGCTCTTCCTTTATTTGTATCTCTTAGGACTGAGGTTCCCCTCAGTAGAGAACCAAGACCACTACTGCATGTGATGTAAATTGGCCCAGGTAGCTGGCCTAAGACATGTCCTTAATGCTGATATCCATGGAGCCCTTACTGTGTACGCCAGCATCATCCTCTTACGTGGACTGTCTTTGACCTAAAGGCTAACTACTTTTCTCTGTTTGGCAGCTAAGGCAACTCAGGTGATAAAGAATTTACATGAGTCACCCAAGGTCCCAGAACTAGCAAGTGGCTGATCTAGGATTTGAAATGTGGCATTCTAACCCTCAATTGGGAATGTAGAAAATTAGAAATGTTTGATCTTTTCCCTCTCATTCTTTTAGGAGTTTCCTGATGCTGAAGATACTTCTTTCTTTTTTCCTTTTTTAATCCCCTTGTCCCTTGTGCATTAGTCTATACTCCAGTGCCCCCTACTGATCATAGCCAGAATCATCTGGTCAAGATTAAATTGGCCTTTCTTACTTATGTCAGTATTTTAATTAAGCATTTAAGAAGCAGTGAGCAGGGGCTGGGGAGATAGCTCAGTTGGTAGAGTGCTTGCCTCGCATGCACAAGGCTCTGGATTCAATCCCTAGCACCACCAAAAAAAAAAAAAAAAAAAAAAAACAGTGAGCAATCTTGCAAATTTAATTATAGCTAGATCTATCATTCTCACCTCATTCAAGTCATCTTGGTGTACACAGGTACATATACATAGTCTTAGTTAGTCTATAATGATAGTAATAGTATACATGCTAAATTATTGTAGCCAGGTGTGGTGGGGCATACTTATAATCCCAGCAGTTTTGAGAGGCTGAGGCAGGAGGATCCTAAGTTTGAGGCCCCTATCTCTAAAAGGGCTGTGGGGGCCAGGGTTGTGGCTTAGTGGTAGAGCACTTGTCTAGCATGTATGAGGCACTGGGTTTGGTCCCTGGCACCACATAAAAATAAAAACAAATAAAATAAAGGTATTGTGTTCATCTATAACTGAAAAAAAATTTAAAAAAAGGGCTGGGGATGTAGCTTAGTGGTAAAGTGCCCTTGGATTCAATTCCCAGTACCCCCACCCCTCAAGATTGTCTTAAGTGTCTTACATATCTTAGTTCACTAAGTAACCTTCAACAAAAATTTCTTGAGCTGTTATGTAGGGTTCTGTGAGATCGATATGTCAAATTTTGCTTATGTTGCACATAATTTGTAGTATAAGTACAACATAAATAATAATGAAATATATATTTTAATTGTCTTTTTATTTTGGATTATTCCTGTGGACTAGAGATGGAGAGTAAAATTATCAAATCAAGGGTTTTATCATCTTGTGACACATCAGGGTCCAAAAAGAGTACTTATTGTCAGATCTGAATCTAAGCACTCTACCACCATCCAATGGGCCAAATCATGGGTGATGCTAGTTTTTGTTTTTCTCACTTGAAAAAGAGTGAATCTTCAGACCTGGTAGTGCACATCTGTAACTCCAGTACCCTGGCAGGTTGAGGTAGGAGGTTCTCAAGTACAAGTAGTCTCAGCAATTTAGTAAGACTCTGTTTCAAAGTTTAAAAAAATACATAGCTGTGTGTGGTGATGCACACCTGTAATCCCAGCTGCACAGGGGGCTGAGATAGGAAGTTTGTGAGTTCAAAGCCAGCCTCAGAAACTTAGTGAGGCCCTAAGCAACTTGGTGAGACTTTGTATCTAAATAAAGTAAAATAAAGGGCTGGCTGGGGATGTGGTTTAAAGGTAAAGTACCTCTGGGTCTAATCCCTGGTACCAAATTTTTAAAAAATACTAATTGAAAGGGCTGGGGATATAGCTAAGTAGTGGAGGGCTGGGGATGTGGCTCAAGCAGTAGTGCGCTCGCCTAGCATGCATGCGGCCTGGGTTCGATCCTCAGCACCACATACAAATGGAGATGTTGTGTCGGCTGAAAACTAAAACTAAAAATAAATATTAAAATAAAAAAAAAATAGCTAAGTAGTGGAGTGTCACTGGGTTCAATTCCCAGTACCACATGCAAAAATAAAAAAGAAAGAAAGGAAGAGAAAGTGAATGAAGCCAGGTACTCCTGTAATCCCAGCCACTTAGGAGGCTAAGGCCGGAGGATTGCAAGTTTGAGGCCAGCCTCAGCAATTTAGCAAGAACCTGTCTCAAAATAAAAAGGACTGGGGGTGTAGCTCAGTGTTAAAGTACCCCTGAATTAATTCTTCAGTACCAAAAAGGGAGGGGAAAAAAGAAGAAAGAAAGAAAAGAAAATGAATGAATGAATTATTAGATATATCTTCAAGATCACCTTCTAGCCTAAGATTCTATGACTATATTATCAGAAGACTCTCTAGACCAGTACACTATGCAATCAACAACACATAAGTTCACTTAATTCCCCATAGAAGTAGTGTTTCTTTAGCAAATTTGGCTTCTTTAGTCTTCTGTGATTCGGATGCTAATGTGTGGGGACTTGTAGCTTCATACTCATTTATTTTGCCATGGAGAACTCATCAAAATATGAAAAAAAGTTTTTATTTTTTTCCAGACAGAATAAATCCAAGTCTGAGATCACGGACATGGTTCGCTCCTCCACTATCATAGTATCAAACAAGGCTCATATGTTATCCATGCAGAAGTTTGGACTTCGAGATACAATTGTTAAATCACATCTGATACAGAAAGAAGAGGATTATACCTATGTCCAAAACTTCAGGTAACTAATAGGGTCATAGATCGTTTTCAAAGCAAAATGATCATTCAGTTCTCTGGAATTTAAGCACTTTCCCCCATACCCTGGATTTTGAAGCAAATAATTCTGTAGAATTTCTCCTTTCCTTTTCAATATGAGTAACTGCACTCACTCTTCATCACAGGCGTTTTTCCTGTATCTCTTCCAGGCAGGCACTGTGATAGGAATGGTACAGTGGGAGTGGCACAGCTGGCAGATAGCTACCAAAATACTTGCAGAAATAAATAGATACAGAAGAAAGAGAGATATTCCGAGTTTGTGTATCAGTCTCAGGTCTTCTATTCCGTTAGTCATTCTGAGCCTCTGAAGAAATCATTTAAAATATAGTCAGTTAGTGTTTGATAATCTTTTTTATAGGATTACCAAAAGTTAAATGAATAAAAGAGCTGGGGCTGTAGCTCCATGGTAAAACGCTTGCATCACATATGTGAGGTACTGGGTTCCATCCTCAGCACCACATAGGAATAAAGTTACTGTGTGTTCATCTACAACTAAAAAAATATATATATTTAAAAAATTTTATTAGTTATTGATGGGCCTTTATTTATTTGTTTGTTTATATGTGATGCTGAGAATTGAACCCAGTGTCTCACTCAGGCTAGCAAGCACTCTGCCACTGAGCCACAACCCCAGCCCCTACAACTAAATAAATGTAAAAGTGTGACTGTACATATGGTGCGATGTGCTACATCGTGTACAACCATAGAAACATAAAGTTGTGCTGCAATTGTGGACAATGAATCAAAATACATTCTGCTGTCACGTATACCTGATAAAAATAAATTTAAAAAATAAAAACAAATTATTTTTAAAAAGTTAAATGAATAAAGGTTGCAGGATTCTGCTGGATCTTTAATGGGATTACAAGTCAAAATAACATTGTTTCTAGAGATATAAATAGTTAGTTATGGTAAAGTAATAACCTTCTGAGCACTGGTGGTGTTTCCTTGCCAAAAGTAACTTCCAAGGCATTTCTCACTTAAGTAGCATACACAGGGTAAGCAATCATTTTGTGGGTGATGGCTCCGTAGTGGCTGTTGAAGGGAAATAAGAATGTTCAGGGTGGGTCTGTGTTGTGTGAAGTCTTTATCACAAAAGCAACAGGCATCATGGAGTTTGCTAGTCATCCTTGATGCCATAGTCACTGGTCCTGGTTAAATATGACATTTCTATGTCTTAAAATGCCACTGTGTAGAGACTGAAACTAGGTAAAATCAGCATAAATGCTTTCCCCGGTCTCTCCTCAGTGCTTCCAGGTCACTGATCAATTCTCTTTGATGACAGGTTTTTTGTGGGAACTTACAATGTGAATGGACAGTCCCCTAAAGAATGCCTCCGCCCTTGGCTGAGCCACGGTATCCAGGCCCCAGATGTATACTGTGTAGGGTGAGTGCTTCTCTCCTAGATGTCTTTTCTTTCCTCAGAATGTATTACAGCTGTGGCCATGGGTTCTTGGACATGTAGCTGAGTCTTCAGGACAGTGAAGGAATTGAAAACTGAGTGCTCGTTTAATGGCTGCTTCTCTGCTTGATGTTCTTCTCCTGGTACACAAAGGTCCAGTAAAGTGCTGTGTATGGCATTGAAATGCTCATATTTGATTTTTAGTGTAGATTTCTGTTAAAATCAGTGCATCCTGAACTGAATTTCATTACTTAGGCATTCAACACCCTTTTGGTCACAAAACAAAAATACCTTTTGCCAGGGAAGGAAACTAAGTCTCATAGATTAGTTTTTTTTTTTTTTTTTTTTTTTTTTTTGGATATTGGGGATTGAACTCAGGGGTACTGGACCACTGAGCCACATCCCCAGCCCTATTTTGTATTTTACTTAGAGACAGGGTCTCACTGAGTTGCTTAGTGCATTGCAGTTGCTGAGGAACTTGCAATTCTCCTGTCGTAGCCTCCCAAGCTGCTGGGATGACAGGCGTGCGCCACTGTGTGCTGCTTTTTTTTTCTTTTTTAAGTACTGGGGGTTAAATCCAGGAGTCCTCCACCACTGAGCTACATTCTTGGCCCTTTCTTTTTCTTTTTTGAGACAGAATTTCACTTAGTTACCCAGACTGACCTTGCCCTTGAGATTCTCCTGCCTCAGCCTTCTATGTATTTGGGATTACAGGTTTGCACTTATGCACTCAAATAATCATTTTTTTTTTCCCTTTCTCTTCTTTCATCACTGTACTGGGTACTGTTAGTGGGGAGTGGCAGCAAAGGAAGCTGTTTTGTATATTGGAAAAAAGTAGAATTTGAAGTTCACATAGACCTAGGTTTGAATCCCAGTTTGCCACTTGGGCTTGTGTGAACTAGTGATTGCAGATATAAAATGGGCATGCTGCTAAACTACTTCGTAGTCTGGGTCATGAAGAGGAAATGGGCTGATGTTTGCAAAAGTACCTGATAAATTCCATGGTGTTTAGTTCTTTGGCTCCAAGTGTTTATCTTTCTTCCCTCCTGAAGGTCCTGCAGTTCAGCTTAGACAGCTAGTACTTATGCACGTAAATCAATTCAAGAATGTATTATTTGCATATTGCATTTCTCTATTAACTTGTTGCTTCTCCAATAGATTCCAGGAACTCGACTTGAGTAAGGAAGCCTTTTTCTTTCATGATACCCCAAAGGAAGAAGAATGGTTTAAAGCTGTGTCAGAGGGTCTTCATCCAGATGCCAAATATGCAAAGGTAAGAAAGGAGTCAGGGACCTTTTACTTTTATGTTACTGCACATAGGGAAAGTCTAAGATAATTTTTCACCCTTTTCATCATCTTTATTGTAAGCCAGTCATAATTATGCTGCTGTTTTCAGTTCCAGGGCCTCCAAGGGGTACCTCTGGGTGGGAAAGACACAGGGCTTTGGTGCTTGCAAGCTCTTCCTGTTTTCATGTAGCATGCCTTGTGTTCTGACATGAAGAAGGAGATGTATTCTCAGCCAGCTTTGAGACCCCTTTTCCTTTGGGATATTTATACCTTTTTGCACCTTCTATCTTATGTCATGACTGGGATATTCTTCAGGTGAAGCTTATCCGTCTGGTTGGGATTATGCTGCTGTTGTATGTCAAACAAGAACATGCAGCGCATATCTCAGAAGTGGAAGCTGAGACTGTTGGGACGGGAATCATGGGAAGGATGGGTAACAAAGGAGGCGTGGCGATCAGGTTCCAGCTGCACAATACCAGCATCTGCGTTGTGAATTCTCACTTGGCAGCCCACACAGAAGAGTATGAAAGGAGGAACCAAGACTATAAAGACATTTGTTCTCGAATGCAGTTTTGTCAGGTGGACCCAAGCCTCCCCCCTCTCACCATCAACAAGCATGAGTGAGTCTGAGCTTCTCCAAATAGTTGTCATGTGTGATGTGTGGAGTTGTGGGCTGTGTCTTACTGGGGAGATGACTGCTGGAGTCGGGGTATCTGTCTGCCAGCTCTTGGCTACTTGTAGATTATATCTCTTGGAAGTTTTTAGTTTCCTGATTACCATCTGACAGGCCCCTAGAATTATGCTCAAGCGTCATTTGTCCAAGGACAAGTATAATATTTAGTCAGTGTGGATCTTCCTTGACCTGACACTGTGAAGAGAGAAACCAAAGAGCAAGCATCTCAAACAGTGTTTAGAAGTGTGTTTTAGGATTTGCTGTCTGTTGTTTCCAGATCATGGTAAACAAGAGTTGGACCACATTTGTTCGCCTCCCACAACTTTTTCCTCTTGGTTCAGCTTTACAAAGCTGTAGTTGCAGCTGCTTTGAGCATCTTGTGTTCGTTTTTGCTCATTATCCTTATTGTGTTTATATCTACAACTTGCTGTTTGTCTGAATTCAAAACCTTAGAATTTCAGACTTTATGGTAACAGTGGAAGCCTGTGCCACTTCTTTGACAAAGACAAAGAAGCTACTGGGGCCTTGGTGCCTGCCATAGAATAAACAGAGTCACACCTCTCACCTTGCCTGTGGCAGTGGAGCTGTCCCTAGCTTGTGGGTGTTCTAGATACTAACAGGATGGCTTTTCTCCTCCAGGGCCTCTCCTAAGACCCCCAGCAGGGAGTATGTCTTACAGCTGAGCTCCTCACATTCTTGAACCACAGCATCCTAGTTTGTGAGAATGCAGCTCTAGTTTCTGTGGTCTGCTCTTAGCATGTAGATGCATTTATTTGGATGTGTGTACACTGCTGCGCAGATTCTCTATGACATACTTGTTGGCTTCAGATAGAATAGTATTGGATTTCATGAGATGTGTGATATCATCAGGGATCCTTCGGTTTGCTTTTTCCCAAAGCAGCAGATACAATAAACCACTTGTCACCCTGTGTCCAGGAGTACAGAATGAGCCAATCAGTAATGTGGTGCTAAGATCCAAGTTCCTGTCTAAAGATTGAGCTTTGTTTCAGAGGAGTTCAATCTAGAAGCAAAGGCTGAGAGTATGTTTTGTGGATTGGGATGCAACGTAGAGGCAGAGGTGGCATGAAGGCATAGTCTGGTTTAGAGGTCTCTAGGTGATTGGCATGACTCTCAATTTTTTATCTTTTTTTTCCCCACTTCTCAGCAAAGGAGTGAATTTTTACCTTGCTTTTAGATCTCATTAGACTGTCTTTCTAATTTTCTAAGAATAAAATAGTCAAGGAGAACTCAAGGCTGTTTAAAATGAACTTGGATCAAGATAATTGAGTAGGCAGCATGTTAGACATGGTATTGGATGTGAGGGCAAGAGAGAAAAATTTTTGGAACAGCTAAGTCGCTTCCCCACCCAGCTCCCAAGAGGCTGGGCCTCAGGGGCCTTATGTCAGAAGCACCCTGGAGAGGATAGATTAAAGTCCCTCCTAAACTCTGTTACCTTTGTGCTCTGTTCTCACAGTGTGATCTTGTGGCTGGGGGATCTCAACTACAGAATAGAAGAACTGGATGTGGAAAAAGTGAAAAAACTCATCGAAGAGAAGGCCTTTCAAACCCTGTATGCATATGATCAGGTACAGATGGCCACCTATGTCCTCTTCAGTCATCTGCTCCCCACTGTAAGGGCATAGGAAAGCTTAGCTTCCCAACCCTTGGCTTTTCCTTCTATTTTGGAAGGCGGTCCTGAGGTCCTGATGTTGTCCAGCCATTTCTTTGTTTCATCTGCGCTTCTCTATTCAGAAATGTTTTCCCCATCAACTCTTCCCTCTAGGCACCTTGTCTCCTTTGGGAACAAAAGCATGTTCTCTCCCATTCATTCAAGAGGTCTGAAGTTGACACGGAAGGGTCCAACTTCTATAAAGAAAGTATTTTGTATCTGTAAGATGATTCAGTAATTTTTTAGAAGGAGCCTCCTACTCCCTATATCCTTCTCCTTACCAGAATTCTCCAGTGTGAATGACAGCTCTAAGGGCCTTCCTGCACCTTCTCCAGGAGCCAGTTCTGTAACCTCTTCTCCGTCATCATTGGACTTAACATTTCTTTCTCAGAGCATTAGTCATTTCTCAGGACAAGAGAAGTCTGTTTCTCTCCGCTTTCTTCTGGCTACTCCTGTTTATTGGTCAAAGTTCTTTTTCTTTTTTCGTCTCCTGAGTCCCCATCTTTTAATAATCACTAAGATTATTATCATTAATCTAAATCTTTCTATTATCTCTTTCTTCTGCAGTACAGATTTATCAAAGGAAAAGAACCAACTCTGAAATGTCTTTCCTTTTTTTTATCGACTCATTTTTTCCTCCCCTCCAGCTCTTTTCCTGGGTAAATTACTTTTATTCTACTTAATCTCCATGTCAGCATTCACCCAGTTTGTTCCCTGTCTGTTTATTTCTCTCTGTGTTCTGGACTGAGACATTCCAGTTTTCCTTATAATTTGATACCTATTTCCACTCGACTTCTATTACTTTTTTCCTGAAGTAGTATCACGCATTTTGTGTGTTATCTGCCTGCAGATGCTTTACAGTCTATCTGTACTGTTCAAGAACCATGAGCTTGCCTTTACACCTAGAGTTTTCTTATTTCCTATTGCTTTTTATTTAATAATGTTTTGTTGTTGTTGTTGTTGATGGACCTTGATTTTATTTATTTATATGTGGTGCTGAGAATCGAACCCAGTGCCTCACACATGCCAGGCAAGCGCTCTACCACTGAGCTACAACTCCAGCCTTAATAGTGTTTTGAAAGAATAATACTGTCAGGAAGAGGGTAAGTGGTGGTCGACCAAGTGGTGGTCGACCCTGACCTCCACATTAGAGCTGACAGTTCCCCCATCAGTCCATGTAGTACCAAGCTTATTGTTCCAGGAAGAGGCAGGAGCACATGTAGTTTTTATCTCTTCTGAGTGTGATCCAAAAGAGGTCCTAGAATTAATACAACAGGAAAGATGCTATTTTCAAAATGTGTTAGGCACTGTTTTAGATTGACAGTTGATCTTTCTAATGACCCTATAAAGGAGGGTCTATTACAAACCCAAAATTTACAGATGGGGAAACCAAGGCACAGAGCTTCTCCCAGTTCACATACCACAGTTTTATCTCTGTATAATTGGAGCCACTGTACTGCACAGATAAGTGTTTGATACTTGGGAGAGAAAAACTATGCTAAGTGGTCCCTTGTCTTCTTAAGGACATCTTGGGAAGGTGGTACTCATGCCCCTTGGATGCGGGTTTGCTCTTATAAAAGATCCTTAAAAACCGTATATGAGGTGCATGGTCAGCTTGCTTCTATTCAAAAATCTTACAAAATGTAGTTATCTTATGGGGCCTTTTCCTTTGAGGTACGGCTTAGATTCCAAATTGATTTCCTCTTTACTGATTCAAGGTTTGACTCTTTATTCTGAGGCTATTTTTTCTCCCATCCTTTTATGTAGCTGAAAATTCAAGTTGCTGCAAAGACTGTCTTTGAAGGCTTCACAGAGGGTGAGCTCACGTTCCAACCTACCTATAAGTATGACACCGGTTCCGATGACTGGGACACCAGTGAGAAGTGTCGTGCTCCTGCCTGGTGTGACCGGGTCCTCTGGAAAGGGAAGAACATCATTCAGCTGAGTTACCAGAGCCACATGGCCCTGAAAACCAGTGACCACAAGCCTGTCAGCTCTGTATTTGACATTGGGGTAGGTGGGCTGTTGATGCCTGTTATAATCTTTCTGTAGGGCATTTGTTTTCACATCAGGATTATGTTTTGTCTTTTTGTTCACTACCACCACCCTTAATATGAGGATGTACCTTTTAAAACTTGTCTTAGTTTAATAATTGTTTTGGTATCATTCTGTGTGTGTCCACATACTTGGAAGATTTGCTTTTTGGACTGTATTATTCCAGACCTTTCTTTATTCATTTACAAATGAGTCTATCAATATTCTTATAAAAAAAACAGGATATTTTTATTTTTCTCTTTCTTTTGGGAAAAGAGTTCACATTGTACATATTGTTCTGAGAACATCTCCCCCCATATATCTTAAGACAGTCTTTCCATATCAGTACAAGCAGAGCTACCTCATCATTTTAAAGGTTGAAAACTATTCCAAAGTGTAGGTGAACCATAATGCATCAATGATCATTTAAGTTGTTGCCAAAGCTTTGCTATTATATGCAGTGCTGTAGTGAACATCCTTCACATATATTTTTGTGTATGTGTGAGTATTTCTATAGAAGGAAATTACATTAGAAAATTATATTTTATTAGAAAATTGTATTTTAGCTGGGCACAGTGGAATGTGCCTATAGTCACAGCTACTTGGGAGGTTAAGGCAGGAGGATTGCTTGAGCCCAGGAGTTCAAGGCCAGCATGGACAACATAATAAGACCCCCATCTTGAAAGAGAAAAAAAATTGTGATTTTAAAATTTTATTTTATTTATTTATACACACTAGGTACTGAACCTAGGGGCACTTTACCACTGAACTACATCCCCATCCCTTTTTATTTTTTGAGAGAGGGTCTCTCTGTAAGTTGCTGAGAGTCCCACTAAGTTGCTATGGCTGATTTCAAACTTGTGATCCTCCTTCCTCAGCCTTCCAAGTTGCTTAGATTGCAGGTATGTAGCACCATGCCCAGCTCAAACATGTTTTCATTTCATAGAAATATCTATTGATATTTCTCCATCAGTGACTTCTGAGATGCTTTTATTACCAATTTTCAAGGTATGGACAGAAGCATATCAAAATCTATGAGGATGTATATAGTTTGAGAAAAGTCAATATTATAATTAATTGTTACTGGAAAATGAAAAAAAATTATAATTCAAAATGCAGAAGAAAGAGCCTGACAAAAATCTTCCTGGCTGATAGAGCATGGGTTTAAAAAAGCCTGAGAGGGCTGGAATTGTGGCTCAGTGGTAGAGCGCTCGCCTCACACAGGCGGGACCCAGGTTTGATCCTCAACACCACATAAAAATAAAGGCATTGTGTTGTGTCCATCTACACCTAAAACATAAATAAATATTAAACAAACAAAAAAAGCGTGAGAAACACTGCTTTAAATGAGAGCTCTAGAAAAGTTTCCCACTGCTAGCCTGAGGGAGGCAGCAAGCAACATAGACTTAGGCACTGAACCCCTTTCCGCCAGGGGCCAGATGTGACAGAATTAGCTGCCAATTAATTAGCTTTTACTCCTGTGTTTTCTTTCTGCTATTCAGGAAGCAGGTGACTTTTTACCACAGCTTAAGGATCCTTCTAAGACTATTGCTAATTAGGTTCTTTGTTAATAAACTAAATTTATTTAGTTATCTACTGCTGTTTCTCAATGCTGTGAATGCCCTCTATACCAAAAAAGAGGAAGTGGGTAGAAGCCTTGGTACTTAGTTTCTGATGTTTCCCTTCTAGGTGAAGGTCATAAATGAAGAACTGTACCGGAAGACTCTGGAGGAAATTGTTCGCTCCCTGGATAAGATGGAAAATGCCAACATTCCGTCTGTCT